ACACGTGTAAAAAAATACAATGTTTGTTTTATGTGAAACCATAATAAAAAAATACTATTTGATTGATTATTGAAATGAATAGACAAACAAACAAAAATCAGATATGTTAATCACGATGTGTTTATTGATAGTCGGAATTTCCTCTCGTATAAAATTCTGTTACTTTTCTTCTAACTCCTCCTTCAGTTCCTCCTTCCATTTGTAACATATTGCAATTTAGTGATACTAATTAAGGGTATTATCACACTGCTCCGCGCCACGCAATGGTGTGCGGAGCTGCATTTTTAACGCTGTACCAAAGTATCTCAGTTTGTATAGAAAATAGGCGCCTTAATATATTGACAACATGTCTCCCAGCGGGAGCGTGCGGCACATGATCCATCGTCCCGCGCACGCCACTGCGTAATGCGGGACGTGTGATAATCGTCTTAAGTAGACGTGTCTGTTACAACTGTAAAACGACTGCCGCACCCCTTATGGAAGAATGGCATAAGTGGAGTTACGTCAAAAACGATTATTGCTCCGTTAGATACAGAAAAATATAACCCACATCCTGTGCAATTCGTGTGCAACTCTATCTACGTTAATCGATGTAGGTGTACATGTAGATGATGTAGGTTGTATTTTTGTATATCTAATGGAGCAATAAACATGTTTCACGTAACTCTACTTATGCCATTCTTCCATGGGATGTGTAATTTCTTCTTATTTATAAGGGGTAAAATAAAAAGAACACAATATTATATTCCAATATGAACAGTTTATTAAATTAACTTATTTACTATGCGTATAAAGTGGCACAGATGACCAATATGATGGGGACGTAACACGACGACGGTCTTGCACTTCCGCCTTGGTGTAGTTCTGCCAGACTTTCACCTGGGGACAAAGGGACTTTACTGTTAAAAAGCTCGTAGCTCATAAATATGAATTTTGTGTTTTTGTTTTAAATATCATAAGTGTACAGGCGAATCATATTATTGCTTATCGTCAAATTCACCTATGAATAATGTACAAGTCAAAATTAGGCGCAAAATGAATAGCCTCTCTCTCTTCATGTGCTGTCGTAACTGTAATTTTTGTCGTAACTGTTATTTTTGTCTTAACCGTTGTTTTTGTCGTAATTGGTATTTTTGTCGTAACTGTATTTGTTGTAGTAACTGTAATTCTTGTTTTAACCATCATTTTTGTCGTAACCGTCATTTTTGTCCTAACTGACATTTTGTCATAGCTATCATTTTTGTTGTAAATAGACTGAGTAAGGCGTGAGTTGCTACCCGATTTTTTAAATAACTGAGGTCTCCATTAATCGTCTGTCCACCAATTTCAAACGTGAATATTACTTATTTGATATAACGAATTTAATACGACCTTGCTCGAGCTTGAGCTGTACTTAAGACGTGACGTGCAAAAGCTAAAATATGTTACCCAGAAAAATTCACTTAATATCAGTTACTACAGTTAGTTCAGGGAGCTGCGATAATAACAATAATAATTTGTTATAATTATTAATACAAAGATCGAACAATCAGAAAAATTCCTTCGATCCGGCCGGATTCGAACCGACGTCTTTCTAGCTTACCGTGCCAGACGCTATACCAACTAAGTCACGGAACGAACCAGCGGACCTCACGAATTTTTCTATGTGCTTGCGTCGTGTCTTTGCATTTGGTTTTTCAGCGACTTTTTAGTCGTAGCGCCATCTATGAGAAATATATGAAAGATTTATCACCCAATTAGTACCTTTACAGCTACCAGTCCTAGCGAGAGATTTATTATTTATATCTATTAGCTGTATTTTAAATTTTTATTGAATTGATATAAATTAAAGAGTTTCGAATTCTGAGTGTTCGATCTTTGTATTAATGATTATAACAAACTAGTGGAGTAATTTCACAAAAAATAATTGAATATCCATTTAATAAATTTTTAAATATTTTTTTGTTTCGTAAAGTTTTGCACATTATTATGGTATTTGTTATTAATAACAATATTTGTTGAGACTAGTGCCTGAATTAGGTTAATCCTGTAATTAAGGTCGACAGGTCTCTCCGTAAAAAATAGTAAGTACCAGATTTGGACAAAGAAATGGATCTTGTTTAACAAATTTTAAAATTGTGTGTAGATTTATACAGACCTTTATATATATTTGTTTTGTTTGCAATTTTTTCATCATATTACAGCTACTATTTATTACTCTATTACAGGCGAACGGCGACCGTGTTTTCTATCTTTAAAAGCGAACAAAAAGAGGAAAAAAAATAGAAAATAAAAATATTACTTCATTACGCATTCAACTTTGAAAATTTAAAAAGAACCTCTCCCTGTTTCGGACAGAATAACTTTTTTTTCTGAAAGGTATTTAATTTTTAACAACATCCAATTACAACAGGTACTCTGTCTAATTTAACGTAAAATCGGATGTTACGTTCCATTACGACTCAGGGTTACGACCTTTTCACGAGAGATTGTTATCGTAATCATAAAATTGTCTTTTGACGCGTTTTGTGAACGAGCCGGTAATCAGGCAGTATAATGCAAATAAAATTTGTTTTAATTAAAAAGGAAAGTGTTAATCCGTGCATTATATCATACTTCGTAAAATTTAGCTTAATTGGAATGACAAGTCGGCAAAATTCGGAAGACATAAATTTGTAACAGCGTCTTACAAATTTTATTTTTTTAAACACGACAACATAAGAACATTTACAACAATTATTAAGAGGCAAGACATGCAATGCAGAGGTTTTGAGTCGTGTGGGTCTTTGCGTTCCTGATGGGTATGTGGGGCGCCGGCGCCGGTCTCAGATGTTGGCGATTCCTCGTGCTGCCAATCTGCTGGACTGGGCACCACTGATACGAGCGATGAGGACTTTGAACGTTATGGATGGGAAAATTGACCTATTTGCCTGTTCTCTATGTGAGTTCAATAAAATAGCTTAATTTGTAATATAATATAATATGGAATTACATTAATTATTTGTTAATTAATACATTTTTCATCTGTAATTTTTTTAAATATCAAAAGTAGGGACAAACTGAAGGAGCTAAACTAAAGCTTTGGGCAAGGTCGCTGCGCCGGCCCTTGGGTTTCTCGGACAGTCTATTACTTTACCCAATTTGTCTATTTATACCCTACATCTGTACAAAATTTTATCCAACAAATTATTAGACTGTTTGAGAAACTCAAGGGCCGGCAGCTACCTTGTCCGACGCATTAGCACAGCTATGCAAAAGGGGAACGCCGCCAGGCATCTTGGGCACCTTATCGCTGGGACCCAATTTTATACATATAATTTATGTATTTTAATCCTAGTTTTAGTTCCTAGGATTTAAGTTTTTTTGTGCCTTACTTTAACTTATTGTCTAATAAATATTGTAAAATCACAAAGAGCTAAATGGATTAACATGGAAATCCAAGTACGTAGAAGCTGTATTACTTTTTGCATTTATAAAGGCTTTTTTCACGGCAGTTTTAAACCCCGTAAATGGCAAATTTTAAATATCAGCCGGAATGTTTGTATATAAGGGCGCGTTTCGACACGAATTTCATCACGCCGGAGACCGCGTGCACGTGTGACCGAACCGTCATGGCAAAACACGCTCTATTTATTTAGTTTTTACGTTTTAACTTAAATGAGAGGCTGGATTCCGAGGAATTTAAATGTTGTTGCCTAGTAAATATAATTCAGATTCGCCATTAATATACGTGAAAGCGTGGTAACTGGGCGGTCCCGCCCAAAACTTTCACATCGTGTAAGTCTCAACTCACATTGGCGCAGAGTCGAAGCGTCGCGACGCGTAATGTTTTTCGCTTATAGCATATTCATCTCTATTATCCCATTATTAAGGTGCAAATTTGTGTTATGCAAATATGGAATCGCGCATGACGACGACGCGCACGACGTTTGGTTAAAAACGAGCGGTTTCGCGCGTCGCAGTACTTTCCTGCGCCAGTGTAAGTTGAGCCTAACGGGGCGCTAATGGTAGTTATACCTTACCCCTTAAATGAAATTATGATTTTGTCAAGACTATTAGCAAGAACAGTCAGTTTATTTTTATTACCCGTATCACTATTTTTTAATGAAATAATCTCAGTACAGAGTACTAAAAAACCGACCTCAAAAGTACGTGGAATTACATATAAATACCAAGTTTTATTGAAATCGGTTACCGGAAAGTACGCAAAGCCGGATTCATCCCCTAGTTCGCCACTATACGGGACTTGACACAGGAGATAATAAAAATCGGTTCTCACTACTCAAGCATATTGAGAGAGAAAAACGCCTTGAATTAAAGAATAGCAAAATCAACCATTAAAATAATTGCTCATTATACTAAAATTTAGGCCCAATTTATAAAAATGAATCTTCACGCGTGAACAGCCACCCTTAGAGGTGGATGATTTTCTTCAAAATTAAATGGCGCGTGGAGGTACCCTCTTTCCAACAAAATATGAATCATGACATTTTCTTCACAAATACCTTAGTTATTGCGTAACATACATACAAAAAAACACAGTCGAATTGAGAACCTCCTCCTTTTTTTTGAAATCGGTTAAAAATGCAGTATTCTTAATATAAAGTACAGTACATGAGTAGAGACAATTCGGGGCCCAGATGGTAAATTCCTTAAACGCCTTGTTGCGGACACCGAGCTACATAATCCGCGCCGACCGCCTACTCGCCAACCACTGTACTAGAT